TCCGCAGCAATGCGGCGTGCTGCAATGGTGTATCGTTCTTCCAGCGCGCGTATAGGCAATAACGATTCTGGTAAGGGTAGCAGCGCGACGTCGAGTATCGTCAGTACATCGGGCGTTGATCCGTAAATGCCGCTAACCTAAAAATTACCATTTACCATGTACAATTTTATTTAAACAATAATCTAAAAAAAAATCATAAGTTAGCAAGTAGCAAGCGAAGAAAAAAAGCGTTCTTTAAAGCATTCTTATATAAAGAAAAATTGCTGTTAACCTAAAATTACCATTGTTCGTCATTTAACATATAAGCACAAAAATAGATCATTACAGCATAATTAGGTTGTTACAGCCTAATTAGTAAAAATTTTACTTTTAACAATTAAATTTGACGATTACTTTTAATTTATTTAGAAATTATCAGGATAGTACTCACCTTTGGTTTTGGCAGCTTGCTCGTACCTCGCCATCACTCGCCATACGACATAACGCACTACGCCAAAGCTTGTGCGTTACTTACGTCCACGACTACGATTGTCGTAGATCGCTACGCCATGTCATGTGCTTTGGCCCTTAGGTTTACGGATCTCCATTGGACCCGCGCCTTTAGTCTCGGAGTTTGGTCGAAGTGGCCCTATGAATATTGGCCCTAAAGCCCTAAAGCGGGAAGCACACACTTCTGCATAACACATAATGCGTAAGCATAAGAAAATTGATTGGTCCATACACATGTGCATAAGGAAATAGACCAATCAATTTTTTATGCTTACGCATTATGCGTTGTGCAGAGTGTGTGCTCCCCGCTTTATTCACTGCCACTGAAATAACCGTGCGGGTTCTGTTAATGCGTAGCGAGTGCAACTGGTCAATGGTCATAGTTTTCTAGTATCCATGGCAGTGTCTATTCGTAGTATACGACCGGTGTGTTGGAAGAAAATATGAAGCTTCAAAGCAGCAACGAGGCTGGATCTCGTTAAAACTGGTCGAGAAAGAAAAGGAGACGGAAGAAGAAAGTGAGAAAAGTGACAGATGCTACGCTACTGCGCCGATTCTTCAGAACAAAGGGAAAGCAAGGAGACGAGAGGCCTTTTTCGTGATTTTAGAATCTCGACGACAAAACAGTGAGTTATGTATTGACGAACGGGTCACGTTAATCCCGAGTTTGTGTCCCCTAGTTATAAACTTTTCATGCTCTCGTACAATCACTGTTTTGCTTATTCTTTTTATCTAACATATGAGTTTAAAATTTTTCAAATATGACAAATATAAAGAAGTCTAGAAAAGTGCAAGAAAAGGCATCTTTTCTAGAACTGTCAAAAGTTAAAAGATCCATCTTTCTTTCTGTTTTAAAGATTATTCGATATATTTTCCTATATTTCTATTTTTCTCTCTAAGATCTGTACGCTTTAGCATTGCTTGTTTTAATTAAACTGTCAGAAATGTTAAAACATAAAATGCAAAAAAAAAACATAAAAGTTAAGTCCGTTGTTTTTATCGTTAAACATCAAATTTATAGGCAAAAATTTATAGGTATTTAAAAAAGTTTATGCTGTATGTGTACATTACAAGAATCTCCATCGATTAATTTCTTTAGCGACATTTGTTTACACTTTCTATATCGAGATTAAACAGGTATATTCACGGTAATAGCATTTACTGTAAAGAGAGAAAATGAAAAGTGGAGATCTGTTGTTTGTCATGAATAACATACACCGACCTAATTCTAACTTAACCTAACTTTATTTTGTAACAAGTCATTAAAAGATTTGTCACAAATGAAGCAATCAGTTAGAGATACGATGATGAGTCTTATCCCAAAAAAGGTAAAAAATTATTGATACATCATCAATATTAAGGCTGGGTTCCGATATTCACTGCCAGTACTGAAGATCTATAGTTTAAGTTACGTATACTGTTTTATAGATTTTTAGTAGTGGCAGTGAATATCGAAACGCAGCTCAAGTAACATATAAGATACTAAAATAAACAAAAAATACAAGTATGAATGCAAATAAACAAAAAAGTCTATTCAAAGGAATGAAAACATTAATTCTTATTTCGGATTTCTACTGACTGGATTTCTACCTAACTGTCATATAATTTTTATTCGTATGTTTATATATCACAAAACATATTCAGTAAGCAAACTGCCTACATTATAACAACATATTGGCGGCAGATTTGCTTGGATATTGCAACAAATCCACAGTATCATCTGTGTTCAGATTAAACTTGTATTTTGCCATCAGAACTGATATAATCTGACAGCAGATTGTGGGCATGTATATATATATTTGGTTAGATGTATATATGTATATATGTGTATATATACATATTATATATACATATATACATATAACCAAATAGGATTTATCTTTTCATAAACATTTAAATGGTTACGAAATGCCAGATTCTATTATATTTCTGCTGGCATTCTATCGACAAAATTTATAGCAGACACTTTCAAAACCTATACTTGACAGATTTGGCTATCTGCTTATATATATATATATATATATATAATCTGTATTTTCTCTAATGTAAAATTTTTATAAATTTAGATTTGACTATTTCAAGTAAAGAATCTGAGATATTTGTATTAAATATGGAATATATAAGATATGATATAATAACAAGCATATAATGATGATGATTTAAGGTAAAATAATACACTGAAAAGGAAAATGGAACAAATGTGATCGTGTCCCTATAAGATAAGACAAGAGCAGTGGTTTCGTTGTATCGTAAGGAAGAGAAATTCCCTTGTATCTCTGTGAAACAGCATAGAATGGGTGAGAAATTTCTTGACTTATAAGCTTATTGAGTTCTAATTTTGATTTTGAATAGATTACACTAATATGAATCTATTTATTAAATGGAAGTTAATTGGTTGTTAATGTAAATATAATCAAATTTGTTCTTCTAGCAATCTTTCTTTAGAATATGTTCCTACATCTATGGCACAAGTAAAAACAGTATAGCTACAGTTTAAATGCTGTTTTTAAATTAATCAAATTTTCTTATAATTTGAATATTAATTGTTAAATAATTTGTATATTAAAACTAATCTTAAAAAGAAACAGTGAAAAAATAATTATTAACTTTTCGTTTCCAAGTTATAATTCTATCTATAATATAAATAAAAAAAATTAATCTAGGTTATTTAGACAAGTTTCTGTAGTCACATAAATAGATATATCATTGATTTTTTATATTTTAGAATTTTTTTTTATTTTTCAAATTTTACTTGAACGTTTTCTCTATTTTAAGATTTTTTTTCAGATTCTTTATTTTTATTCTAGTAGCATATATACAAGATGAAAATGTTATATTTATTAACTATAAAACTTTTACAAATTAGGTTTGCACTAAAAAATGTACTTGATAAGCAAGCAATTTTTATATTTAAGGTAGTTCTCTTGTCCTTATACTAGAGAAAATCGATTTTCTATAGATTTTGTTGAAACTGTGAATATACGTTAATTTAGGTGTGCTTTACGCGTGGTATAAATTTCAGTACCTCCTCCGGTATAAAAAATTAATAAACCTTAAACCTTAAACCTTAATATCGTCTAAATGGTTATATTTATGAAAAAAATATAAGAGATCTTTTTTGTAGATTGTTAAATTTTCTACAAAAATATGTATTAATTATTTCATAATTTTTGATAGTCGATATGATACAAAATTCACAAAATTCATAAGAAGCAAAAACAAGTATTATAAAATTTATCAAACTTTAACTTTGAATATCTTTTGAACGGTTGAATTTATGAAAAAATGATGAGATCTTTTTTGTAGAGCAGTAAATTTACTACAAAAATCTGTGTAGAGCAATGCTGTATTACTGTTTGTTAGATAGTTATAAAATTTTTTCTATCTTACTAAATAAAAAATAAAAAATCGCGATGAGCGACCTGTTAATATTAATATTAAGGGCTCAAACTTTAACAGGTATCTTATTTTACCTTCCTGCAAGTATATATGCTATTCGTGAAATGAAAAAAAAAGTTGCTCCAAAATGACACCCTAATATATATATATATATATATATATATATATATATATATATATATATATATATATATATGTATATATATATACATATCGGCTCCCCCTTTCTTTTTATACATTTTCGTGTTCGGGAAGTCTCTCGGTCATACACTAACCTTCCCATCTCTCTAACTCCTTTTGATCATCTCGTTTCTTCCGAATTATCTGAGTTATCGGCGGACTCGGAGTAATCTTCTTCCCTTATTACTTCCGAATTAGCTGAGTTATTGGCCGACTCGGAGTAATCTTGTTCCCTTATTACTTCCGAGTTAGCTGAGTTATCGGTGGACTCGGAGTAATCTTCTTCTCCTATTACTTCCGAATTAGCTGAATTATCGGCGGACTCGGAGTAATTTTCTTTTTTATTACTGTTGGCAAGGTCAGCAGACCCTTTTCCTTTAATTTAAACCCTTCAAACCCGAGTCAACTTCCCCGCGATTAACGTACTACGGTAATTAACCCCACTAACTTATAGTGAATTTGCGTGATCTCGCTGATGAAACCCCTGCGAAGTCCCAAAACGCCGCGAGACACGAGCGGAATCGTCGGAACAAGCAGGCGCGAAGGGAGGTTGAAAAACAAGCGTTGGAATTCCGCCAGAAACAAGTTAACGCCGCGGCGCCGGTCCTCCGCGTTATTATGTTTTAATTTAATTCAAATACTCGTATACATCTCACACATACATAGTTAAATTCATGTAACTTTAATCCTAAAACTAATTGTAATAATAGCGGGCAGGATGTGCATTGAATAGGTTTCCCCTTCAAAGATTCTGCCCGATCACCCCCGTACCAATGTAACACCCGCGAAGAACACACACGCACACACGTTACACATGCATCCGACATTCACACTTATGAATGTATTTAATTTTATTTGCCCTAATTCTCATTTATTGTTCAACTAGCTTATATTATTGTAATAAATGTTTATCTTATGTTAAATATTAATTTCAATCTGCGTTCATTTACAACTTAAACTTCATCCACTACTCTTTCCCCTCTCGAAATCGCACGAGGTCCGATCCTGAGTTAAAGGGATTAAATTTCCTGACTCAAAAGAGGACCGACAATCGCACCGCTCACAGAAGGCGTCCTAGCGTTCCTTCGGACGTTGACCCTTCCTGAGCCATTGAAAGTGCGTTTGGCTCGCGCCACGCGCCTCAGAGCGTGTACCTGCGGACGACATTTGCAAGTATCTGGTTGCGTCCTTCCTTACCCCTACCCATCTGGTTAGCCTTTCCTTCGCTTCCCAATTTTCTAATTCAAATCTTGGGGTTGGACGTAACACATATAAGCATCTCATTTTTATTAAATTAAATTATTATTGTGAAAAGTATTACCTCAGCCAGGGTTCGAACCTGGAACCTCCCTCATTCCGTGTAGGGAGTCGTATCTGACCAAAACCAATGGTCGAACTGTCACCACTAGCCAAACGTTATCGATTATAAAAATAGAGATTTTCTCGATAATAATTCAAAATTTTGTGACTTAACCCTTCGCCCGTAAACTATAATTTGACTGGCATTGTCCGTAATCTGGGTCGTAAATGTCCTGTCGTTATTTTGACCTTGTAAATAGTGTTCAAAAAATCTGAAAAAATTCTGTAATACTTGTATATTATCCTATTTTATAATCCCAAAGTTTATTTAGCGATTCGTTATAAAATAAATTGTTTATAAATAATTCTTTATGCAAAAAATTAATAAAAATTCATTTTTATTAAAAAAATCATATCTCATTGAATTTTAAATCAAAATGAAAAATTTCAACGAGGTTTTATAATTAAATATGTGTACTTTCAAGAAAAAAATTCTGTATATGGGTCATTTTCAAAAAGTATAATTATTCTGAGGATTAAAAATGGCGTTTTTCGGGTTAAAAAAAAATAAGACTTTTAGCGTAATTTTTACATTATTTTATTAAAAAATCATATAAAATCGTCTTTCTCGTAAATAATATCTGATATTTGTCGCTTGATCATCCATTGTACTCTGAAAGTACATGTAATTTCTTTTTACACGTGTTTTCATCCATTCACATTTTGAGGTTATATATATAATATACACAATCATAAAAAAATATCACTTATATAAGTTATAAATAACTGTAGTAACATGAAAATGACGTTAAATTAATTTTACTTACTTGCACGAAAGTCTGGCACTGTCCGTAATCAGGGTCAATATTGGCACTGGACGCACTTTGACTCGCTGCTGGTCAAGCACACACTGGCGAATTCCAACGAAAGTTTGGGCATGAGTTCTCCTCACTACCTACTTTTTTTACGAGGGAAAGCAAGCCCCCCCCTTTCATTTCGGCGGTATTCTATTTTGAATTTCGGCTTGTGCCATTTACGACCCAGATTACGGGCGAAGGGTTAATTATGTATGATTGTGTATAACTCTATATGTATATTTATATTTGATTAAATACAATAATATTACATATTGAATCATATCATATCTGATTACATATAATCAAAGTTGATTACATAAGATTGATAAGATCATATCGCGCCAAATCGGATCTAATTATATATGGCCAATTATATATGATCTTATATGATTATATAAGTCCATTTTTTCTCGAGCAGCTGTCGATTAAGCCTACTCAGAACTTAATTGGCTTAAGGTGATTGGGCCATCAGAGCATGTCAAAGAAAAAAATCCGAATTAAATATATGTTATACAAAAATCTAAATACGCTTAAATTTGCAATTTTGAAAAGATCTGACGTCTAGTTTTTGAGATATTAAATCTCAAAATTGGCATTTTTAACATAGGTTTTATGGGAAATTGTACCGGAAACATACATTTTTCGAGAATTTCACTCACTGTCTGTAAAGAAACAAGTTCAAAAAACTGAAAATAACATTATTTGATTCTTCTAGCACTTGTTGAGTATAAGACAAAATGACGTTGACGTGTAATAAAGCCAAAAATTCAATCAAAAATTGATGAATCGTCGCGTTTCTTGTCGGCCTTTCGATCAGCTGTACGTGACGTGAACATGTGGCAACGCCGCGCCGTGTAGTGTTTTCTTTCCACAGCACTATTCTTTTGCAAGCAAATCTCCCGTTATCGAAATTTTTTGTTACCTTCCATTATTTTTTAACATAAACACAATACATAACCTCACTCAAACACATGGTACTGGCATGATAGCTGCCTACAGCGAAGAGATGCAATGTCGCGACATTTCTCTTGTACGAATGTCAACTGAAGTCAAATCTTGAACTGTTTACATTTATCAGTAGATAAATTGATACGTAATCGAATAAAAAGTTACATTATAAAATCAGTAATTATACAAGTGTCTAAAATATATCCATAAAAATGGTTTTTCTTAAAATAAAATTTAGGCCTTATATTGACTCATATGGTACATGGCCCAATCACCTTAACCGTTATTGAGATCTGATAATCTAAAAGTTTCTCAACTTGTCGGGTTGCGTATAGATACACGGTCTGTGTCTCGCTGCGCTTACACTTGGCACAAGACACTACCACGTCTTTTATAGCGAATTCAGTTTGACACACCAGTGCGCACTCAGTGCACATTAAAGCCGTCGTACACAAATCAACATAAAGTGTATGTTTAATATAAACGGGTTAAGTCACAAAATCCTTAATATTCTTTATTGTATTATTTGATAAAATTGTATTACGCATTTTATCAGTCAAAATATTTGGATTTTACTTTAAATATTAGAGATTAAATCAGTGTACAACGGCTTTAATGTGCACTGTGAGTGCGCACTAGTGCGTCCAACCGAATTTGCTATTAATGAAAACAAACTGATGTGAACTATTATGAATAATATCTAACAAATTATTTGTTGACGTATGAGAGAGTTGCGGAATGTGTGCCGGTCGCTTAAATCGTACCTTATCAATATTTTATATTATTACTTAATATAAGCAACATTTAGTAACAAAAATATGAAATAAATGAGAAATAAGTGAGGAAATGAGTAATATAAACAAAAATTTAATAGGTTATATCGGTTTATATCTTGTTTTGTGCGTACTAACATTTTAAAAATTCTGGTACAACTGATGTTAATTTTTGATCAATTTATATAGCTGATATTAATCATGCAATTTTATTATAAATTTTTATATTTTTATAAAAAAAGGTTTATTGTAGAATATTTTACATTCTTTACATATACGACGTCTCTTCGGTCGCGGAGCTGTTCGGCGCGACGGGAGAACGACCCAAATCTAGACCGGGTGGCAGAGCCCTTCAAAACTCAAAAAAACTACACGCGAAATTGTTGGGCGCCAGGTGTGGAGAAGGCCACACCACCTTTGTCTCGAAACGCTAAACACTCTCAGTTACTCTCAATACTTGAATTACTCGCAATACTCTCACGGGCTCCGGCCGGTCGCGACAGCTGCTCAGTTTAGTCGGTCGAAGGTCGGGGTTCAGCGGATGGCCGAGTCTAGAGGAGTTTGGCTGTGGTTAGGCGGCATCAAAATACACAAACAATATTCCTTCATAACTAATATAATATAAAATCACAACGCAAAGTATATTAGAAGGTCATGATATCACGTACAATAACACCAGGGAAGATCCCGACAGGATGGATACATTATTCGCGACCCGTAACTACATCGCCATAGAACGCGGGATGATATTTACGAGAACGCGCGATTGTGTTTACTCCGCGGGAGTCACGTCTTGATCACGCGCTCTTTCAACGTGGGTCCGCTCCAAGTGGCTCGAATAAATATTATTCGCCGGACAACTAATGCGCGTAAGGACATAAGATTCGCTATTACGCCGCCGATTAATATCCCCGAAAGGACGATACGCGCGAAATAGAGAACTCGAAGACGGAATATTGGTCGCACAATGAACAACGCACGCAAACGGAATATTTTTCGCGAAAAGAACGATCCACGCAAAATAAATGCTTCTCTCTGAAGGAACGATACACGCAAAACAAAGGTTTCTCGCAGAATGGACGGTATACGCAAAATAAAGGTTTCTCGCAGAACGAACGGTACACGTCGCAAGCACGTGATACTCCCGCCCGACTCACCCCGGGGCGCGTAATACTCTCAGCCGAAGTACATCATACTCTAAATCTCTGAACGGTAATTGCGGCCGTTTTTCGGTCATCTTATCCGGAAAGGCTTACTCCAGATCCGTTACCCCGACACCTCACACTTCCCATACCGGGCGCGGTAATTAACGTATCAGGAAGCCGGCACGCCCCAGAATGACCGTACGCGTGGAAGACACGCACGACTCAGATCACAAAATACTCGAAACTAACTCTAACGGGAACGCAGATATCTTACACACGAATCGATAGACGCAATAATCATAAACGGTAATCTCGAAATACTCGAAACGGTAATTTAAGGCTCCTGGTCCCTGAACCGAGAACTCTGCGTTGACGGTGGCGCCGTACCGTCGCAGCAGAAATAAGAACTCTCTCCTCTCACTCTCTCCAATGGAGAATTCTGTCTTGTTGACAACCTATTTTGCGTTGCGTTAAATTTCTTTATTATTCGCTCTGTACTTGTGCTATAACGTTTAATGTATTCGTGAAACTCGTAAAATTGACCGTATGGTAAGATTTGCAAGAAATACATATGCGGAAGGAACATTCTCCACTCCTTTTGATAGTCGAAAACGGCTTGTTTTTCCGTATGTTTAGGCTTCGTTTTATGGCTATTTGTTTATTATCGAGGGAAAAGGATAGTATCCGGTCAATTTTAGAAGTGTGCTGAAACGATCTATAGTGATTTTTTATTGAAATGTTTTTTTATTTCGGAAAATATCGCAACATAAAATAGGGTAATTTCTCGCCTCGATAGCAAAAAATTCAATATGGCTGCGGTGACTACCCAGGAGCTTTAACTCTAATGACTGTTGAGCCGATCCGCGAGGTTTGATCTCGCAACACGCGCCACACTCATGACGCGTGGCCGGTACCACGCGGTCGCTCGTCGTTACTCGATTACACGCAAAATCTTATACCACACCGCGACACTCGACAGTCAGGAAGAAACGGACGCCCCTTCAGTATTCTTACGGGGAGTCAGCGGGCGGGCTATGTCTTACCCGTAGAAACGAAACGGAATAACGCGAAACGGTACTCGACAATTCGCCCCGCTGTTCCCCGATACCTGCGGTCCGGGATTGCTGGTCGTTTACATCTCGTCCTTCCTTCCTTCACAACGTAACTCCTAGGGCCGCCGCCCTCGCTTATTCCCGGCGCAACGGGAAGGCTCTCGCCGTACGTCAGTCCACGCTCGCGATCGACCCAACAGTCCCGGGATCATTCCCGCGGCTTCGACTCGCGGGCCTCGCGGCCCTCTAGATCAGGACGCTTCGCCGTACCGGCGGATGGCGCCACGCTGTCGAAACGGGCCCTCCGGCCGCTTCTTCCTGAAAACTATTAACTCGGCAGTACGCGTGCAATACAAAGATGGGAATGGGAAAGACTGTGACGTGCACACGGTGCAACGTCACAACATATTTGCAATTATTATAAAGATTAAATCGATATTTTTATAAAATCAAGTTTCCTAAATCATATCACCATAAGATTTTCTATATAGTGCCAATACGATCAAAAAACTTGTGTTGTATACTCATGCGCACGCATCTTTAGGTTACATGCCATAATTTAGATTATGTTAACACGACAGTGATGTCTTTACCTTGTTATTATTATTTATTAATTAAGTACTTGATCTTTTTTCCAATAAATTATTAATAAAATAGATATTAGTTAATGACTCCTTTTATTAATCTTATATACATATATTTAATTATTTTTATTTATATATTTTTAAGAAAGTATGATTTAGAAGACCTACAGGTATGATTTAGGCGATTGATTATCTAAATCGTACCTTTTGCAGCATGTTACGAAAAGACTTATAACAAATTGATTTGTTATTGGTGAAAAGTTAAATATGTAATAATAGCCCACACAGCATCGAAATATTTCAGAAAGCTTTCAAAAAACTGTCAATGAAATATGAAACCTTTCAAAAAAACATTTTAGACATATTTCAGATATGTTTCAGAAAGCTAAAATGTCCGCCAAGCTGAGATTTCAGAAATGTTTCTGAAATCTCAGAAATATTTCTGAAATAATTCTGAAATGCTTTAGAAATATTTCTATCTCTGAAATGCTTAAGAAATACCTCTGAAATGCCTAATAAATATCTCTGAAATGCTTCAGAAATATCTCTGAAATGCTTCGAAAATATCTTTGAAATGTTTCAAAAATATACGGGAAATATTTCAGATACTTTTTCTCATATCAAATTGTTTCGGATCACCCTGTATAGGATCATCCGGAACAATTTCCTGTTCTTTGTAAAACATATTTTTGATCATAGTCATGATTTTGCTTCGCCGAAGGCCTGCTTATATTAGATCCCAACTGAAATTTACTTGCGAGTTAGTCTTACTATTATGCGTCGCCTAGCGGCGTCGTTGCATATTTCTCTGAAATGCTTCGTAATATTTCAGTGAAAAGGGTTATAAATGATTTCGATGAAACGTTTCAGAAATACTTCTGAATAATTTGAATGTTACGTTTCAATATTATTATCCGAGTTATCTTTCGGAAAGCTTTCAATGATATGTATTTTAGACATTACGTACAAAATATTTTTCTAAAATGTTTTGTAATATTTCAGAAATATTTCAGTGAAAAGGGTCATAAATGATTTCGATGAAACGTTTCAGAAATACTTCTGAATGATTTTAATGTTACATTTTAATATTAATTGCCAAGTTATCTTTTGGAAAGCTTTCAGTGATATATGATTTTCATAAAACGTTTCAGAAATATTTCTGAATGATTTCAATTATACATTTCAATATTAATTTCCAAGTTATCTTTCGGAAAGCTTTCTGAAACAAGTTTTGCTGTGTGGGAGGTACCTGAAATATCAAGCTACAATTTCCAACGTTTATTTGCGTACAAATCACTACCAAATAAAAAATGTAATAAAAAATAACTTAAGTGGTACACATTCAGTAACTCTCCTTTATTATACGTTGATATGATAAGTTAATTTATGATGATTTTATAAGTTAATTTACTAATATAAACAAATAATTTATTTCTTTCTTGTAACAAGTACTGAACATTTTCTGTAATTTCATATTTATTTATTATATTCTTGTACAATTGTTATGTTTACTCATTTTGTTTCTAAAGAAAAACTACAATCTTGTATGTAAAAAATATAAGTTATTAATTAAAAAAGTTAGAATGCCCTTAAAATAATCTCAATGATTTCAATTTGAAAAATAAATTAATATAATATATGCCGATTTTGAGACCAGTCTAGAAAATAATAATTTTGCTTTATTCAGTTTCAAGAATATAAGCTAATACTTTTAATTTTTCACTTTGTATAAGTGTATATGTGTATACGTGCATGCACTATATGCATGTGTAGAGGATGGAACACAAAAATATTTAAATATATTTTAATTCTAGATATACAAAGAGGAATGTCTCGTAACAATGGACCTGGTCTTTATGAGTTTCTTATGGAGGCTGAGTTACAACAGTATTATCCCGGTATTCGAGGTATTATTCATTTTCATTTATTTTGATTACATGTTTTACAATAAAAATGAAACAAAACATAAAAGTGGCCTATTTTTATTTCGTTATATGTATTAACTTTAGAAATAGAAGTTCTAAACAAGAGTAGAGTTTCAAAGAGAACATGAGATTACTATTTGTTTGTCCTTAAATAATTGTTTTAAGATCACATATAAAAGTCATCTTCAATTTTTTAAATAGAAATTTCTATCTTTTATTGTATATTCTTGTAGTCAATATCAAGATGTTGTATTATTTTAATTCTGAAAGTGTTGTAGCACATGTAGACCATATAAAACTTTCTTTTCTAAAATTAATATCTTTGATGAAATAAAAGTACTGTTTTAAATAAGTCAATCTATATACATATGCATGCGACACACAAAGTATTTAAAAGAATTATAGGACTTGCAGTATAGATATTATTGACTAAAAATGCTTAATAGGCATAGATCGAAAAATAAATACTGTTCACTGGTCACAACTAGAAATTATTCTCGGTTTTGATAATGCAAATGACTTGCTTACTTCTATTCATATCCGCCGTCTGAATAGAATATTATCTGACTACATTCTTACTTTGATATATACAAAAAGTATCTTTTTACGTATCTTTTTTTTTTGTTTCTATACACGTTTCATATTTTTGTAAGAATCTTTTTACGTATCTTTTTTTTGTTTCTATATACGTTTCATATTTTTGTATTACAGAATTACGAATTTTTTTGGTTTTCTCTGTATCTCTTTGCAGACATTTCGAATTCGCTGTAATTGTTGCACATCATATATTAGTAAAGAATATACTAACATTCGAAACTATCCCTCATCAATTTTTATGAGTTTTAGATATGCTGTCAGAGCATAAAAAAATATTAGACCCATATTTTTTTTACCAATGTATCTCAATATTTAAGGGTTGAAACAACCTCGCAAATAACGGATATTATCATTTTTATGAATATCTTCGAAAATATAAGATATACGAAAATATACATAAAAATATTATACAACAGTTTTATGTTATTTTATACTGTTGAGGTATTGAAGGTAGAGTGGACTGTATTCACTGGATTTCACCTTTATTGCGTGAGACCGTTACGATACGTACAATGCGCTTCAACGTCCTTTCGCCATCTTCTCTTCTTCTTTCCTCGCGCACGCGCAGTTACACAACCGTCATAGAGTCGACGGGCGCTAGAGGCGCTACAGCCAACCGCGATCAAACCGCCGTTGCGACGCGACCAAATTACAAAAATTATACAAACTCAACATATACTCTTTACAACGGTATATTCACATTTTGAAAATGTCAAGTTTTTTTATTTACTCCCGTTCATTATCGTTTAAAATTTAAAAATTTTGTAACGACAAAAATTAAATAGCATTGAATGCCAAATCTAACCATATACCATTTACGAAATACTTACAATTAGACAAACTTCTAGGGCGTATTTCTCACGTCAAAATAAAGAAAAAAGTTTATATAAACTCATAGTAAAAAATGAGTGGTACCGCGAGCAGATATGATTTTTATTAATGGTCACGCTAACTGCAATGGTTGTGCGGCGACGAGACTTTATGCGGAAATCCGAGAACTTTTGGAATGGTTCGATAACTTCGTTGTGTCAATGACTGTCTTTAATTAAGTTGGCCATTTTGGAACCTTTTTTAAGTAATTTAAGTATTTACTTAATTTAAAAGGGCGGCAGTGTGGTCTAGTGGTAGAGCGCCAGACTCGTAATCTGAAGAACCAGGTTCGAATCCACTAAAGCCATGTAAACATGGAATGTTTTTTCCGAAAGCTGCGCTCTCCGTGCAAGATAGGCTCTTGTGCGGAGCAAACTGGGTTCCGTCTTTCGAAAAGAGACGTTAAGCCATTGGTCCAAAGGGTTAAATGAGAGGAGAAGGGTAGTATTGGATGATAATTGAATAAAGGGTTAGGAACGTCCCTACAAAACGCCTTACAACCCTGAGGGGAGTCAATAAACGTATTTATCGCTTTTACTTAATGTTGGAATGTACAACGATATTTACACACATCGCACACTCATACAGACTGTCACATACATACACACACACATACACACGGACATACACGTAACACGTGAACAGAGACCACCCGATCATGTGAGACCATTGTATCAGTCAGTCGCTCTAAATATACGAGACCGAAAGGACGTTATACAGTCAAATTGTCGTGGCGTACTGTATTCTGAATTTCATTCCCGTTTCCTTCAAATTCCTGAAAGTTCAACAGGTTATGGGCCCAGGATTGAAGTGAAAGAGAGCGGAATTAATTAAGATAAAGAGTGCGGGCGCGAGTGAACAGACAAGATAGATAACGGTCATCTTATTGTTAAGTCAAATTGTTAGTATAATAAAGCTCAACGGTGAAAACTACCAAATATGGAAATACAAGCTGGAAATGCTGTTGACGAAAGAAGACTTGTGGAGTGTGGTAAATCAGGAGCCGCTAACCAATGAATCTCAGCTTGCAGCATGGACAAAGCGCGATGGGAAAGCGCGAGCGAGTATTGGCTTACTGGTGGAGGACAGCCAGCTCGTACACATACGTACAAAGGCGACGGCAAGAGAGCAATGGCTGGCTCTGAAACAATACCACGAGAAATCTTCGCTTACAAGCAAAGTATTCCTGCTGAAGGAAATTTGCAACATGCGGCTCAGTGAAGATGGAGACATGGAAAAGCATATAAGCACGATGCAGAATTTTGTCAATAAGTTAACCGGATTGGGAGAAATTCTCGATGAGAAATTAGTCGTTGCGATGCTGCTGTGTAGTTTGCCGGATTCGTACAATACCATGATTACGGCATTGGAATCGCGATCGGAGGAAGATCTTACACACTCTCATTAGTAAAGGGGAAGCTGATCGATAAGCACAGACGACGAAAGGGGCAGGCAACGACGGTCGAATCGAACGAGTCAGCGCTTTGGGTAAATAAAAGTAAAAACGCGAGCTCGTTAAAGGTTACTTGCTATTTCTGTCACAAACCAGGGCATTTGAAGAAAGATTGTCGACGGTACGAGCGCTGGAGGAAGAATAAAGAGACCAAAGAAAAACAAAGCCAAGAACGGGAGCGTGATGGTCGCGAATTCACGAAAGAGTTCAAGTACTGATTATTATCGCGACGTTTTCTTTGCTGCCTGTCAGGAGAAGCTTACTAAAAGGTATATGGTACTTCGACTCAGGTGCAACGAGTCACATGACAAATGACGCTGAATTTTTCTCATCTTTAAACGCGAATTACCACTCGAATGTGCGAGTCGCAAACGAGACAATGTGCGACGCTCGAGGTATCGGTGAAAGACAGATAGTGTGCGTGAATGACAAAGGGGAAGCAGTGAAATTAAAGTTACGCGACGTGCTGTACGTACTCGACTTTGAAGGAAGCCTGATATCAGTGCGAGTGCTGGATGTGCTCGGTTACGGAATCGTTTTTCGTGGAGGAATGTGCAACGTTTCGAAGGACAATGTAATAGTCCAAGAGCTGGCGTTAAAAAACTGCAAGAGTTTTGTAATGGCTGATTTTTTCACATAAAGTTATATTGCGGGTGTACATGAGTCAGCACCCACTCGCAAGGTCAGGTACTGGGACACCTGGCGCCGGCGCGCTTTGAAATAGGTCAAATTATTAAGTGCGATAAAAGTGTTTTGTAATGGCTCAAATTTTGTGAGAAACTAATAAATAATATACAAAACCGTTAGAAAGTGGTCAGACCGCACAGTTATGGGACGCAGCGAGTCAGCACCTCGCATAAGTGGTCGCAATAATTAGGTCAGTAAAACTGTTTCAAAATAGCTGAAAATTTAGAAACTATTAAATTATTGCGTATAATGAAGGAAAAAAACGGTCAGACTTCAGTTTAATGGGACTGACGCAGTCAGCAGTCGTTTGAAGTGCGAAGATCAAGCGCGCGCGGCTGCTCCAAGCGCGTAGTGATTTGCTTATAATTAAATTCCATTTGTATTTAATAAAATGATTGAAAGATTTTTAACTAAATCACGATTGAAATTGTTATTTTTTACGTTGTTTTCCTTTTCTGCTTTGAAAAGGACGGTTAGATGGTTTGAACAGAGCGTCGGTATTCGGCGTCAGTCTTAAGGCGAAAATAAACGACGCGTGCCGGTTGTCATGCTGTACGAGCTTTATTTGTCATTTTTTTGAGCCAGACTCGCCGAGTCACGCGTCGTTTATTTTTTCGCTTTAAGATACACAGTTAGATTAAGGTACACAGTACCAGAGTGATATACAAGTTTTGTGTGAGTGGAAAAAATATGATTCCTATCTGCGTAATTTGTTTAAAAAAAGACAACAATGTAATGTTGTTTGTTGAGCGAACTTTGAACAAGTGCAAAGAAGTGTTAAAAGTTCGCCAGGATAATAGCTTGACGTTTAATAATGTGAATTTGCCGTTAGCTACAAATACAATTGAAGGTTATCACGTGAAATGCTCACGGTCTTACATAAAACCGTGAAAATGCCGTGAAATGCTATATGTGACCGTGGAAATGCTATAGAAAATTCACAGCTTTGGGAAAAAGATTTAGATTAACTGCAGAAAGGCAGACTTCTGAAACAAGGTAACTGAATATAATGTACCACGTATTATTTTAATCAATACGACCGTTTATTATAGTGATTTGTCAAATTTATTATTATAGTGATTCGTCAAATGCAAATACCCAGGCTGCCGAAGAAGCAATATCAATAAATGAGCCGTCTGACCGTCAAACGAGGTAAGATGTTTGTTTTTTAAACAAACAAATTCTGCTTTTTATTGACAATAAAAGAAATCATTATACCACTTTTCTACTGTAAATTGATCTTTTCGGAAAATTACTTAAGTAGTATTATTTCACTGATATGGCTTTTGATAATTATTATAACAAGTTAAAAATTTACAATTATGAATAAATAATGTTTTGTTTAAACAATTTCAGTTATGCATATATTCATTTT